ACAGGTGTAGATATGAGCTTCTTATCATGCACCTTGCAGGTGTGTGTTGGCATGACATTATTTTTTTCCTCTCCTCCCAGGCAACATATGACTGCCAAGGTTTACGATGAATAACAACAAAAACGCATTGTCCTGCCTACTTACACTTTCAAACCTTCTTGAAGTGCCTCTGCGTCCTTTATGGACGTGATAGATCAGACCTGCTTACAATCACCCTTTCATAAAAAGGAATATTATAACCTTGGTGAGTGTATGCCTGCGCTGCATGTTGGTGTGGGTGTGGGTGTGTGCACCATCCTTGCTCTCACAGTAGCAAAGTCCCTGAGGGCAAATTTCTGAGAACTATTTATGCAGTTTTACTATGTTTTACCAGTGTTCACCTGTTTCTAGACACACTGACCCTAACCCCTCTTCAAATGAAGAGCCATGCTCAGACCAGCCTGCAGTTCCCAGACCTTATCCTCCAGCAATAGAACTACTAAGCAACTAGTCCTGGAAGTTAAATCATCTGTAGAATCTAAGCCATCAGAATCTGTCTGACCTGCAGCAGAAGCAGCTATTGCTGTGCTCTGTTTCCTTAATCATCAGGAGGCCTGCAGTGGTGTTGTTAAGCTCTTTGAAGGAATTTTGCAATTGGGATCAACTGCATCTCGTGTGTCTGAAACACAGACAGGCAAAGACGTAGCGCAAATGCAGTGTTTGGCTGGGGTGTGAAACTGCAAGCCTGAGCTTGCTTTCTCCATGGGGAGGTTCCTCAGCTGTTGTTCCTTTGGGGCTACTGGAGCTGCAGACACTTATGTCATTCAAGGATCTGTCCCAAATGTCTAATAAGAACCCATCATCCCAATTTCCGGCTGTTTTCTTTTACACCTCTTGCTTTGTGAGGACTTAAAGCTACTAGAAATGCTGCTGTGACGTGTTTCTGGAACACAGACCTGAGAATGTGTTTTATAAGTTTATGGCCGGCAATAAATCTCATAACGATTGAAATCTTTGGTTTAGCCAGCTTTCCCAGTTCAGGATCAGATATTTCACCTTTGTTTCTGTTGCATAGTTCTAAATGTGTTACCTGATCAGCAGAATTCTGACTTAATGTAGCCTGCAAACTTGCTGCAAAATGCACCCCTTCATCATAAGGGAGCAAAGACCTGACATTTCTTTTGAGACTCCTTTCAGCTTTTAATATTTAATATCACAATGATCCATTTTCTATCATGTTTTTTTTATTTAACGAGTTGTTGAAAGTATTTGCTCCTTTCTTCAAACATCTCTGTCTTGTAGTCATTCTGGTGGCATCTATAACTGAAGTTTTCAATGCTGTTTATCTGATTTAGCTCATTCAAAACTATCAGAGGAATCTGGAAGTCATTAAGATAATTTATGTTCTCCATCTAAACCCATTAAAATAATACTGACTATAATTCTCTGGACTCTGTGTATGTGTGTGGTTTACTTTTATACTTTGTTTCCAGTATATTCCAATAATATTGGCTTTCTACATTAGTGTGGAAGGATGATTGCTGAGTTAAATTTGATCTTATTTTGGGTTCATAATGGGAAGAGAGAAATGAAAAAGCTTACTGAAATCATAGTGAAGAACATCAAGAGAGAAAATCTGAGACAATAATGAGGTCTGCTGCAAGTTATGTGATTTCTCTACCTCTTCTATTTTTGCCTGAAAACCAGGAATAATTCTCCTTTTCCTCCTGTCCTTTTCTCAGTCTAGTATCTTCAAAATGAACAAAATCTGTGATGTAAATGTATTGACTGACAAAAACTGACCTTAGCTTAACTGACCTTAACTGTCTTAGAGTTAGGATCAGAGTCCCAGCTCCTTGTTAGCAAGGATGGCAGTGACGGGAGGTTGGTACTTCTCTGGAGTTCAGTGCCATATCTAATACATGTCTGTACAGTTCTGTTTCTATTGGTAAATTTATTCCCACACAGATGTACATTAGTAAAAACTTTTAACAACTCTTAAGTGTTACACTGAAGGTTTTTGAGTAGCTGACATTATAGAAGATTAGTAAGTATTTGTTTCATCTTCTACAAGACTTCATTTGTTCATTTGAACCACGTGGTTAAGACAAAACTTTTAACGTACTGTGAAAATTGTTGCCAAGTCACTGGCAACTTGAAAAATACAGATAAAATATAATAAATGAACTGCTCTTCTCAACAAAACAACAACAGTACACAAATACACTTCTGGTATCTTAATTAAGTGGATAAAAATTTTAAAAGCAATTTAGACCATTTGCGTTGTGATTTCATGAACAAAGTGCTCTAAGCAGCACAAGGGGGACTTCAAACCAAATGTTTGGTTCCTCAGCAAATGCTATCCTTTTGGTTTTGTTTTGTTTTTGTAACGTGTCTGTGGGGTAAGAGTAGCAATACAGGTGCACGTTTTGTGACTGTCTTTCAAACCATTACATTTTTAAGCACAAAGAAATGTTCAGAGAGCGTTTCAGTCTGAACTTTCTTTTCAAATGCTGTATTTAAGCTCAAAGGGAATTGGAAACTCCAAACTCTGTCTGTACACTTTACCGTTGGTTACCAATATCACCCACCTTCAAAGCTGAAATCTGGAAACAGCAATATTACAGTGTACTCTTCTCTACAAGAGGCAGTGGTGAATTGCTTTTATGTTTGTCTACAAATAGGAAGAAAGGTATGAATGTTTCCTTGCTTCTCAGTGGGCAGGGGAGGGGAATGTTATGGTCTAAGAATCACAACTTTTTTCAAATGTAATTAGTACAGAAGATACAGAATTACAGTGTAACTCTTAGATCAACAACAATGATATCAACTTTCTTTGTAAGTGAGGCATTCACTCAGTGATGGAAAGGCGACTGTGAGTGATGATTTGTGCTTATTTGCTGGCTTACGTTAATGGCTATAGCTCAGTAATTTTGGAGAAAGTACTACAATGACGTGAATTTTCTCTGATGTAAACAACTAATTTTTCCACTTTATGTAGCTGGAGAGCTGGGTGGTTACTAACATTTTCCTTCCTTCGCTACCAGTAGTCTGGGTATTTTGAGATAGAAGATTGGTTTTGCCAGAGCAAACTGCTACCGAAGCTTAGATACTATTGTTGCAAAGCTGAGAGCAAATGAAGCAGCTGTTTCAGCCTAGTTCAAACACGATGAACAAGAGTAAAACATATTAACTCCAGCTGTGCACTGATAACAGCTGGGAAGGGTAATCACTGCATGGGAACCTTGAGTTCTATAGCATGGGTAATTACTGTGATTGCACTTCAGAGGGAGGAGCAGTGGTCATTGGAAATGTGGAGAATTTTGACAGGTTCTTGTGCCTGATTTTGTGTAAAGCTGCAGCAGGCTCTGTGGTTGATGGTATCACCTCTGCAGATTTGCAATCCTAATAAATTTATTTTCCAAAATAACACGTACCAATATTCTTCAGGCTACTTCTCAGGTTTTTTCTGTTCAGGTCACTTGCATCTTGTTCATTTTGGTCTATTGAGCACAAAGAGCAGTATACAATTAAAGGAAGTAATTAAGAATAATTCTGGAAACAGTTATGTAGTTACAGTAACAAAACTTCATTATATTTCAAACTTGTCTTTTAAAGATAATGGGTTAATTCAGGCCTTACACATGAAACCACATGCTCTGAGTGACCTTTCAAAACCCATAGCTTATAATACACCTAGCAATTCTGAGGCATACTGATAGAGTGCCAAAGAATGGTCAGTATTTGCTGTATTTGGTATTTGCTGTGTTTGTTCATTATTTGCAAGTTGACACATCTGATGATAACATTGAATTGTGCCTATCCCTGGGGTTAAGTGATGGTAAGCTAGGAAAGCATGTTTTCAAGGGTAGATTAAGTGTCTATAGATTAATATTTCCATTTGGTATCCATATGAATCTGGGAGAAGGAAGAGAAGACTTTTAATGAAAGAAAAGCTTTAGGTTGATATTTTGGACATGAGTATTATTTCTGTTTATCAGTGTTTCTGTGGTTTCCTAGCTGTCTTTTAATATGCATACAAACAAAATGACTGCACTGTTCAAGCTGCAGATGGGAGTAGCTTCCATGCTGGAGCACGGAAACTTCCAGTAATTTCCTGTAACCAAGATAGCCAAGCAAACCTGTCCTATTTTGTGTAACTGTCATCTTCTCTCTTTGCTATTCCCCCTTTCTCTTTCTTGTTACTTTTTTTTCCTCATCCCCGCTTACTTTCATGTTCTATTTGGTGTCTTCCTCTCACCACCATGGAGCTGGAATCGTATCTTGGGTATGTTCTACAAAGAACCTTGTGTACTTTAGGTACATATAAAATGACTAGACAGCCAAAGTTTTGGACAGGAGGCAACACAGCTGTCTGTGTCCCTCTGAAAAGAGAACATCAGCATATAAATAAAGACACTTAAATGAGGCCAGTTACTATTGTCATAAAGTTATTCTAATGTTAACCAGCTGTTATGGACTTGATCTCATTCTTCAGTAGAGTATGCCTCTCTTGGAGGCTGGAAGCCGGTTTTCTCTATTTCTGTACACAAAGCAGACAATTATATAATAAAGCAGGTCTTTGGTTTCATGTGTATACAATTATGAGAAAGCAGTAATTCCTCAAAGAATTGTGAAAGAAGACAATCTTAGTATCATTCATAAAGAGTGCTTTCAAATGTAAAACATGGCGTGTGCAGTCAAAGATGTAAATGTGTATGTATGTTATGATCCCACACGAGTGACAAAGAATAAGAAATGTGAAACAGGGAAACAAACCAAAAACCACATCTTACAAATAACTTACCAAAGCTTATCAAAACAGATACAGAGCTGAGTGAATTCCAAAGCCTGACAGCCAACACAAATGTGAGGAGAATTCTAGTGTTCCTGAATGCTCTGATGCTTTTGTGACTGACATAATTGTTGTTGACCCAGGGACTGAGTACAACTAAAAATTGCATATTTAATATTGTACTTTAATTTTAATTGTTCCCATCTAATGTACTTTCCTTTTTCAGGTTTGATAGCTGCAGAGGATCGTTGATTGCAATTTCCTCTAAGTTGCAACACCAAAAACAATGGCGAACGAATATATTAAAAACTGCTGTAAATGGTGTTTTTATGTGGAAAAAGAAAAAAGCAATTGTGAGTTTCAGCATAATCACATTGACTAAAGGTTTTGCTATTCTGGCCTCATTAATTATAAGATTTTCCATTAACAAAATGACTTTGTCACCCTTGATAAACTTGAATTCTTTTACATATCCAAAATTCTTTCCATTCCTCTGCTTGGAAATTGGACACATGCTTGTTAGTGTTATAAATTGGAATTAGAACTGAAAAATAAGTGGTCTGAAGTCTGCTCCTTGCCTGGAATGCTGTCCAAAAATACAAAAAAAAAAGAACAAAAAACCCAATCAGCCTAAGGTCATGTAAAGGTCTTGTATCTCACAAACTGTCTGAAAGTGAGCACTGAGCACTTTTTTTTTTTTTTTTTTTCCCCAGAATTTTATTTGGTGTCTTTGTTGTTTGCACAATTGATCTATGATACAAATGCACAGAATTCCTCTTGTAAAATTGATTTAAGGGCAAGGTAGCTATAAATATACAGCCTCAGGCAGCAGAATTTGTTTTAGTACAGACATGAGGATAGATATCTTTTCCAGGTACTTGTCCTGAATGCTAGTAAAACTGAATGCTAGCAACAGTAATGTAGCAAGCACAGATTCACATATTAAAGAAACACATATTAAAGAGATCTGTTCAGAGTATTGTTCCAAACTTAATGCACATGTAGACTGTCTGTTTTTCTTGCCTTTTATTTTTAGCAGTTTCCATGGCGCAGGAATCTGAAGCTGTACCCGCAAGCAAGCCAACTATTGTACAGCAGCCTCCATTGTCTTCAGTGTCAGTGAAGCGGCAAGTTGGCTGTTCTGAGGATTATCTGCTTTCTAAACTGCCCCTGGACAGGCAGGAGGTACCGTTTGTGGTCCCGCCATTCAAACTAGCTTACGTACAGCCAAAAAGCCTTCCTAGTACCTCACATGCTGGAGGAATTCAAGGTAAAATATAAACAGTGCTGCTGAAATAGTGTGTGTTTCAGTTGGGAAAACCTGAACAAAAGTGATAGTACTTCATTAGGTATGTTAACCAGTGTCACTTTCTAACCAAAACCAAAGAAACTTTATTTTGGTGAGAGAAATTGCTCACTTTGTATATTGTAACAAAAACATTTCTCCCTGCCCTTCTCCCCGTTCTTATCTGTTAACTGTTTTTACTGTTTAGCTTCTAGAAATTTGGAGGAGGGCTGCAGGGGTATGCATTTTTATTTAATCTAGTCTGTCAGTTGACTCAGGAATAGTTGTTCAGTATTTGCTACTCCTTGAAGGCTGTTAAATACTCCTACTGAAAGCATGTATCTGTAAAACTTCTGTAGAAGCTAGGTCTTGTGACTTTTCTCTCCGGATATTGGGACCGCTTTTGGTAAGGATGTCACTCCAATATAAATCACTGTGATCCTGCATGAATGAAATTAAAAGCAGGGATTGCACACTAATGCTTATGCTCAACATAATGGAAGACACTGAAGACGAAGCTCTAATAAAGAATTTATTTGGAGTCAAGGAAGGTGCTAATGTATCACCAGCATCCAGATCACTTAAGAAGAGTGGTCTGGCTTTTCTGTTTATTATGTCAAAACTTTCAGCGTAATAACATTAATACTCCTTTTCAAATTTCACCTTTATGCTTCAAATAGGAAGCATGTGGTACTACTTGGAGGAAGGTTTTAAGACCTTCCTTGTCTTTGAGCATGATCCCCTTCAGGTTTCTCTGCAGATAGCCAGCAGAAGCAAGTTTTTCTCTGCCTCCCACTGGCAGAGCTGGGCTGCTGCACAGAGGGATCACTTGTTATGTATGATGGCTGCTCTGAAAGTTTATGCCTCCTACTTTGTTATGTTGGTCCACAACATCTGATGTGGATGTTGCTGGTATAGCAGTAGAGGCTGAACCTTCCCACCAGTATCCCGTTACATTTTGTTGCCATGTGACAGATGACAGCAGAGGGGTGGTCAGACAAAATGTGGTCTGACGCAGAAGTGATTATGAAGTGAAGGTGTGTCACTGAATTCTTCCACGTGGAAAAAATGGCACCCATGTGATTATGTTGAAAAATCGTATTTTGTAGCTGAGAATTTGCTTTATCAAATAGTGTTATTGTACTGTTTATATCTGTTGTAGTTTTTCATGGAAATAAGTAGGCGGCATTACTTTTGGAGCAATCTTTTATGCATTCTTCAATAGCTAGTTCTTGTAAGGAGTACTTGAACAAGGTATATGGGAATGCAGGATATGCTGCTGGTAAATCCCTTTTCTCACGGGGTTTGCATTCAGACTCTGTCTTCCTTGGTCCTACCTCATCCTTATGATACCGTACATAAAGGACTCTGAGGCACCTGAGTTTTCCAGTGAGAAGGAAAGGGTGTTTAACAACCTTTCTATAAATGTTTTCTTTGTTCGTGCTGTTCTACGGGGTCTTATAAACTGGTGACTTGTCTTCATTGGGTTATGCTTCAGCCTTTCTGAAGGACCTAGTGAACAGACTGGCCCTTGGGCTATGGAATCAGAAGATAATCTGGCAGGATGGCTAGGCTGTTTGTAATTGCTTCTCTTGAGCAAATATTTTAAATTCTTGCATAAATACTTGAAAAGTGGATCTTATGTCAAGTAGGTAGCTTCCATTTCCTTTCAATAATAAGTATATTTGGAAACACAACTCTTTAAGCCTCACTAAAGCTATGTTTAAAAATGCAAAGTTTACTTTTTAGAGAGATATACTAAATACAGAAAAGTGTGTTGCCATTCCTTTTTTACATTTGCCGAAGCACCAGCACATTAAAAAAATACATTTATAGTATTTGTTTCTTTGGTCGTTGTTAAATATCCATAGCAGCCCAAGTTCTAAAAATCTCAGTTCCATTCCATTTTCTTTGCATGTCTGCCATTTTCCTTTATTGAAACAGAACATGCTCAGTGTAAGCTCTTGGCATCCTTTCTGAAATCAGTTAAGTTCTGGCAGGGCTTCTCAATACTCACTGCAGCTTGTCTCCTGTTCTCACAGAAGTAAGTTAGCAGAAGTGAGAGCATTCCTGGGCCAGAACACTGATTTAACTGTCAACTGCTGTGTAGCAATTCTTTACAGTTTCACTTCTAACATTCACTCTAACTTAGGTTCTGCTCAAGCCCACTATACTTGAATTCTTCACTTATCAACTCTCACGTTCCATTCCATCTCACTGTTCTTTTTAACTTTACTGTCACCTGGAAGAAAGGTGGTTGTTGTGGCTATGTATACACAATAATATTTTGCCTCTTATGGGATGGTGTATACAGAATTGAAGGCATGTTATAATGGGGTAAGAAGCTATTTCACAGGGAGGCTGAAATCTGGGGAGGTGAAGGAAGCAGATGTCAGAGCTTAGCAGAGTCCAGGTCACCCATCTCCTTTCTGTTCTGGACTGTTACACAAGGCTTCTTTCAGCTTCGGATAAAATGAAAGTCTAGAGCAATGTTCTTTACTGTTCTGCTGAGCAGGAGGTGTGTGTATTCTCTGAGAAAACTATGAAGAAGAGAATAGTAGGGCATGTGCCATAATGGACTGAGCAAATGGCTGGGTTTCAGGCTTTCTCAAGTCTGTCTCCTTGTGTCTCAGCCAACAATTCAAGTCATTTGCCACTGACAGACTTCCTATGAAAGTTGGATGACAAGGAGGTTACAGTCATAAGTTGTATTATCTTTCCATACAAGACCCTCTTGGAAATCTGGGGGCTCATTAGTCAAGTAGGAATGTCCTGGGATCACTTAGTCAATTAAGACAGAGATTTTCCTTATTCATGGACCTACCTTTCTAAAGATTTCCATCTTGGTCTCTGTCTTTAAAGTCATCTGTATTTTAACGATTGGGCATTTATTATGGAACACCAAGACAGGACACACATGTATTTATATGGCCGATTTCATTCCAGTATTTTCTAGCATGCTCTTGAAATCTGACATAATATATGTCTGTTTTCTTTTTCTTTTCTTTTTTTTTCCTTCTTTTTTTTTTTCCTTTTGCTGAAGCAGATAATAATGAAACATTTTGTCCTTTGCCCTGAAGGCACTCAGCCTGCCTTATGAACGCAGGCAGCGTGTGTTATGTCTGGAGGTCTTGCATATGATGTTTACTTGTGCTTCACAGAATCTGCCAGAGCTTCTTTTGGTGACCGGAAAGCAGAACTGTGCGGTGTGTACCAGTGGCCCCGCTATGATGTGTACAACCCATTCTATTTGGAACATCATGTTTCACCAGACCAGATTAGGCGTTTCCAAGCCAAATCAGATAATAGGAAATTATATGGATCAGGTGAGAACTGTACCCTCTTCCATCTTTCTCTTTTTTTCAAGGTCAGTAGGTAAGAGATAAGGCTATTATTGTACAGATGTTTGATTATAGCAATCCTCAAACTGGTCTGTGTACTACAGGCACTTCCTGGCAAGGGAATTGATCGGGGAGCTGGCTCTGCTTGATATCCAGTTGTGCTGGTACATTCTATCTTTTAGGGGCTTAACAGGGCTTACATGCATCACATGACTGTAGATAGAATAGCAAAGCAAGCTAGGCCTCTGATCCACAACAGGATACAGTACTGAAAATTCTAGCTATCAGTATTTGAGGGAGAATGAACAAGGAAATAGGGTGGTTTGTTGACTGGAGGAATACATGGTGAATGTTATGTGGAGAGGGAAACAGGCACTAAAAACAGTCAGGAGCAGATTATGAGAACAGGTTAAAAAAAAAAAAAAAAATGATGCTGTGCCATGTGCCAGCTTTTATGTAGTTTGCTATTTAAGCTGTAGAAATGTCCCCACTTCTCACTGCTTAATCATGTTTAATTACAAGGAAGGGCTGTGACACGGTATTAGAAGTTTAGATACAAGTGTTTGGCTGTCCAGGAAAAACTTCTGTACTGTTCATAGGTATATGTATCTTGTATATAATGCATGCTGTTTACAGTAAAGTAGATGATTGTGTTTAGCTATGGAAACCTATTCAGAAAACTCATACACTCAAATGTATACATCTCTTCATCAAGATGGATGCTGGCAGCAGCATGCATTTTTTGAAGATGTGTTTGTCAGAAAGGTATTGCATGTTTCTTTTACAGCTGGGGAAAATCTTTCAATCAGTGCTCTGTTTAAAAATAATTTTGAATCACCATAGTGTATAACCAAGATGTTATAATCACAATATAATCAAGAGAGTAAGGCAAAGCAGACAATGATCACAAAAAGAGAATAAGTGGAAGAGCTTACCCTTGGGTTGAGCTCACCAGAAGATACCAAAAGAGGTATCTCTCTCCAGAAGAGATCCTTCCCCTCTGGTAGCCAGCTCTTAAATAGGTCCAGGAGGGGTGCAGCCTGGCTCCACCCCTTCCGGCAGCACAGGTGAATTGCCTTCAGCTGTGCTCCTCTGGCTGACTCAAGGCTCACCTCAGGTGATTAATCAGAGGTTCAGGCTGTGACTCAGCAGTTCCCATACACCATAGAAACTAAATTGAAAGACCACGTATTTTTTTAAGAGAACAAAACGCATATAATTTAAGTAGCTTTTAATACATAGAGTTTTGCTGGACTTTTGCAAGCAACTGTGGTGGGAGCCCAACGGTTTTCATAAAATTGTCTTAAACATCTTCCCTTCAGTTCATCATCTGTTTCTTTGTTTGTTTAAGCTAAGTAAATACTTCATTAGTTTGTTTAGTAAGCTCAAAAAAGGAGAAAGGTCACTCAAGTGCATCTGGAGTAAAGACTTGCATAAAGGCAAGGGCTCAAGCATCTCCTGAAAACACCATTTCTGTTGTGGAAGTAATTTTGAGGCAGACTGTCCATTCTGCCAGTGCTGCCAATGTGAACATGTTTGTCTGTTTCAGAAATGGAATGCTCACCTGGCTTATTCTCGCTGTTTTGTCATTTCAGGAGAGTATTTTGAGAATGGGAAGTGAGGAAAGGAGGAGAAACCCTTAGTTATCATCTAGTTAGGTTTTATTTCTGCTATGATTCTACTTAAATTTTAAAAAGTCGTCTTAGTATATTTTTTCTAGCAATGACACAGTTTGTACTGTTCTTTTTGTCTTTTTAGTTAGTGATTTAAGAACTAGTGCTTTGCCTGGATCACTTGATTTAAGTCATTCAATGTTTGATCTCAGAAGCCCACCTCATCGATTCATGAAGGTGAGTATTTCTCATGCTTTAGCTGTCACTTAGGTTGTACTGAAAACTCAGTACATTTGCTGTATGTTTCAGTCACACTGTTTCAGAGGAATCACTGAAGGGCATTGTCCTGTGCACTGGAGGGGTAAAAGGGAAAAGTTCAATGTCTTCACTAACCTCAAGTGTTTATTTTGCTGATGTCTCCTCTGGTTACTGCTATTCAGGTCCAACAAAGCTGCTGAGAAACTTGAGTAGGCTTTTAGTTAGGATAGGACAAGAGTCTGTGGTTTCTCATCTTGTGATTTTTTTATTTTTCCTTCACTTGAAAAGACGAACATTAGAAGTTTACATTTATGCAAAAAATGATGCTGCATTTTGTATGTTTATTTATTCATTCCTAAATAAATTTGTTCCTATGAACTTGTGTACATACCAGTGAGTGAAAAAATCCATTGGTCCAATATGTCCTGTATTTATTCTTTGCATCAAGATAGTAACTCCATGCTGGACCATCAGATTGGTAGGGAACGGGTTAAAGATTTGAAATGTCTTGTTTTGTTTCTGTCATGTCTTGTCTGATGATAGAATTTCTATGACTTTCTGCATCTGTTGCTCTGATAGAAGGGGCATGTTTTGCTGTTTTTCCCTCTGCAGAGATACGATTCAGTCTCCAGTGTACCTAGCAGCACCTCCTCCAGAAAGGATTCACATGGCAGTAACAGGAGTCTGGGTGATGTCTTGTTTGTTTAACTTGTAATGCAGTATCTCCTTTGTACTTGCAATACTGAGCTGTCTCTAACGTTGATTTTTATTTTGTGTATCTATTTATTTTTGAGATGAATATGATTAGCAAGTCAATGGGGATTACTTTGCAGTTTGAAATTAAGAGTTTTGGCCTTGTGCCTTCCTGTTGTCAGGAGATTGAGCCAAACGGGCCTTTCAGGAATGCAAGTTTTCATGCTTTTGAAAAATTAACCCCTGGATTACCGTTCCAATGAAAGAAGAAATGATAGATTTTCTGTTAGAATAGAAAGTGGCACCTTGGTCACAAGCCTTGTCTTTTTTTCATTTATCAGTATTTTTCTGTGGGAGGTGTTTGGTTTCCAATACCTCTATTACATGAAGGATTATGCAAGAAAGTTGTATACAAACCTGCTATATTTGAGAGAAATGCTGAAGAAGTCGAGGTGATGCAAAATAAACCTTAAAAATCAAGTCCCCATTGAAGTCTTCCTAGCAAAAGTCAGAATTTCATCCAGTCTCCTCAACACAACAAAGAAACTCTGGATATTAAGTGATTCTCAGAGAAAAGGCAGTGAAATGTTTCTTAGGCTGGTTGAGAAAGACAAATAGCAGACCAGCTTATTAACTTAACACTGGAAGTGATTAATCTAAGGGAAGTTGTTTTTATTAGAATGTGTTTTGGGTGTCTCAGGAAAGTGCTCTTTTTGTTTCTGAAAGGTATTTGAGTGCAACACAAGTTACTGACTTCAGTAGAGATACCTGCGGTAAGCTGCAGAGTTAAAATGCAGGTCAGGCAACAAGATTTCATGGATATTTTATCCTAAAAGTTTTGCGTTAGGATATTTCAAATGTATGTTCAGAGAAATTTTCAAAGGTAAGCAGTCCACCTGCTAATGAGTTCCTTTATTCTTGGAATGAATTTTTATCATAGTGCATTGCTTCTGGAAACACCAATTGGCCTTTTTTTTCCCCACAGATACCATTACGTTATCAGGTGATGAACGAGACTTTGGAAGACTGAATGTAAAGCTGTGCTACGTTCCTTCTGTGGAGCAGATCTGGATCACAGTTTTGCATGTCAGTAAATGTAAATAAGCGAATATTAATAACCAGATTATAATTTATTCAAATGGCTATTTTACTATGCTTTTTGTTCAAATACCAGATAATCAGATTTAACAAGAATAATGAGGATTAAGGAATACTTTGAGGAGAAAAACAATTAATAATAATACCTTCAAGTATTAATATAAGCACAGTTCAGTCAAATGTTCCTGTCTGGGGGTAAGAAACTGTTGGATGTGGATAAAGAAGCTGAGCAGGTCATAGAGTCGGTCCTGCTGTAGAAATTTTCCTGTGGAAATTTGGAGACAGTAATTTGAAGCAAATTTTAGAGGCACCATTTAACTGACCAAATCTAGTAGTTCTCTCAGGGCAGAACTTTGAGGCTGTATTCTTGTGTTCTTGTGGGTTTTTTGTTAACTGGTGTGACGCTGGCTGCTTCATACATTTCCAGGAATTGTGAATAGTTTTTAGGCAGTGGAATTTCTATTACTCAGAAACCTTGTAACTATACCAAATGATAAATTTGCAAGATTACGTAAGGAATTTCATGATTTATCTGCTGTTGAACTTCCACATAGTGAAATCATTAAAATCTGCTGAAGAACTTTTACTCTCCACTGTAGAAGCAAATTATTAAATGTTCTGAACTGACATAGTTCTTACCCTGGCTCTGATTTGCATTCAGTATTACAGGAATTATGTATAATTTTGGGGCAGTGTAGACCTTAGGTTTCTAACTTGTCTGAAAGCTGGTGGCGTGCATTATCTCAGCTGACTCTGTTTTCAATGTTGTAGTGCAAAGGGCTGAGCTGGCCTTCCGGTTGTGGGGAAAATCCTCAAATCTATGTCAAGGGAATTCTCATGCTGCCCAAGCCTGTGCAGTTCAAATCCTCTGCAAAGGAAGGCTGCAATGTAAGTAGAAGAAAAAAAAAAATAAAACCACACCAAGAAACCTTCCACCCAAAAGTAATGGGCCAACACCCAGTTCTGTATTATATTTGCCGTGGTAACTGTCTAGGTTCCAGTTACTATTTTCCTTTTCCTTTCTTTTTTTCTTTTTTTTTTTCCTTTCCATTTCCAACTTCTCAAAATCCTTTGACAAGGCTTGTTCCAATTTCTTCCCTCTTTGCCCTCCACTGTATTCCTCCTTTTCTCCCAGATCTGCTGGACAGTTATGGGATGCACTTACAGAGTATCGTGAACCATTCTGGTCTTGGCAATTGAATGGAGGGGGAGTGGAGGAAATCTGAACATAATTGTAGATGCAAACTCACCTGGGGAAGGTAGAGGATGAAGTACTACTTCCAGCCCTTCGCTAAGGCAGTAGGCAAAAATAAGCCGTGCTTTGTCCATGCAAAAAGTAGTAAGAATTGGTCATGAGGCACAGGATTCCTGATAGGAAGATAAAGGGGTTGGGGCCAGGAGGAGGGAAGGGAAGCAACATAAACAACCCATAATATAAGTCAAAGGTGAAAGAATGTAAAATGAGCAGAGAGACTGAAACAAAAGGCCTCAGGATGACTTTCTATGACAATGTGTGCATGCTGTTGTAAAGCCACAGAAGAGGTGTCAGCTTGTTCTGGTAGTGAACAAGATTCCAGAACCTTGTCCCTGCCTGGGGTGTGACAGCAAGATAAAAAGTCCACATGAGTTTACCACTGTAAAAACACATCTCTTTATGACAGCTTGAAATGGTATCCACCAGCAGTGGCCAAAGGACCCTGAAAACTTTGTTTCTAGGTTTGGAATCTAACAGGACTCTCTTACTGAGATCATGTTACCTGTGTCTTTCTTTTTAGGACATTGAATTTATGGAAACTTTTGTATTTGCTATTAAGTTGCAAAGTGTTCAAACTGTCAGACTGGTATTCAAAATCCAGACGCAGGCTCCTAGGAAAAGAACGATTGGAGAGTGCTCTTTGTCACTGCGGGAGCTCAGCGCAGAGGAGTCAAATCATTGGCTGGATATATCTCCTCCTTCCAAAGCACCTGTAAGTGCCGATTCCATAAATGCATGTTGTTGCATGACCAGACAATGCTGTTGAAAATGGAAGTAAAATCATTTGGTAATAATTCAGTGTTAACAACAAAGTGGTTGTTTCTTTTTCCTTTCTTGGATGAGGAACATTAGATGAAGAAAAAAAAAACAAAGGCACTTCTGAACTGTGCACATCCCTGCTATGATCATAAACCACAGCTGCTTCTAGGAAAAAAAGCTAGAACTAGCTTTTCAACAACACGGCCTATGGCTGGAGGGAGGGACATTCTGGGAAGACTTTTCAGGACACCGAGTAATTGCCTTTTCGTACCACAAAAGCATCAGAAAATTTTTAGGACTCACAGCAAGAGCTCACAGCAAATGGGATTTGTTTTTATTATGGAAGAAAATACTAAGATCTTCAGTGGCTTAAAACTGCACATAACACATACATATTATTATTATTAATGTTCAGATTACATGCTGTGAAGTAATAATTCAGACAGTTCATTTCCATTAGAGTAATAAAAAACAGGTGGTTGTCAAATGCCATTTTCACAGTGGGATTCCTTTCCCCCTACTCCCACTTTGTTTGTTTCTTCTACAGATTGTCTAGACATTTGTATTTTTAACAGATTAAATTTGAATTGGCAATTCAAAAGCAAATTTTATCTAAATATGTCTGAGTAATATGAGTGACACTCTTGATTTCTAACAGAAGTTAAACTTTATATCTGTACTTCTAACAAGTATTTCTTCAAAAGCAGTAACTTTCTACAAAGAAAGCAGAAGATAAAGCTGTTTTAGATGCCACTTCATTCTAGCGTAAATTCCTGAATCTATCCATGTTGGCTTTCCTCACTATAGTATCTGAGAGCTCTTCAGATGCTGCAGGCCCACGAACTATCCTGTCAGACAGCAGTTTTCTCTTACTTTCCAACAGAGCTGAGTCAGTGGCTCCCTCTCAGGTTTGCACAGAATGCGTGTGGCTGAGGTGTGAAGAGAATTTGGGTCTCTTAACCGAACAGAAGTGAAATGAATCTTTGTCTTTTTATAGTTGTTTATATTTTCAGATTGCAAAATATAAAAGAGGGGAAGGAGAATTCCAAAGTTTTTTTCTGTTAGTAAAGCATGCCCGTTCTCTCACATCAATTCAGTAGTGCACTACTGCATGTCTGGTTTTCCCTGTATGTGTCCACTTTTAAAGCTGAGGAATCCTTCCCAGGTGAAACTTGAGGACTCAATTATTTTTCCAGTATCTTTGGCTGCTGCCCAGTAGGGCCATACGTGCACTGCACACAAGCAGTGCGTCAGTGGAGCACATGTACAGCAGCTGTGACAAGTGCAAGATGCATTTACTTACCGTGCATCTGCAGGATGTATATACAACACATACTTATATTTCTGTCCAGGAAATCCCAGATAGGAACAAGTGAGCCCAACATATAACAGAATTCCTGCATTTCCTGAGTTTATAAGCAACTTAATCCAGATGTTATGGCAACATTCTTCTGCTTGTAGGTGTGCCGCACAGAACTTCAAATAGGAAGTTGTTTTCAAGCAATAAACAGGAGGATTCAGTTACAAATTCTTGAAGCACAAAATCTTCCAATTTCATCTACGCCGCTGTCTTTAAGTAAGTTACATCAGCTGTCTGAAGGCATTCGTAGCAGGTAAATTGCTGATCAAATGGGTTGGCAATTCATAGCATTCCTTACAAACCTCAAACTAGCATGTTGTGCAGTAGGTTTCCGTTGCCAAGGCTTGTTTCCATAGATGTCTGATTTGATTACATTTTGTTTGGTTTGAAGCTACACATTACGTATTCTGGGAGATTTTATCCCAAAATTAATCCTGACATAGAATAGCATTAGCTTGCACTTGTTTGGATGTGTGTTAATCAGTTCGACATTAGTGAACATACTCAGTTTGTGTGACTGCTCAGGAAAGCTATTGTACAGTTCTTTTGGCCAGGCTTTTGAGAAATTATTGTTGAACCATACATGTCAGTTCCTCTTTGGATGTGTTTGTGAGTAATCCTTTATGTGTTGTGCCTTTTTTCTTCCCTTTTTTTTTTTTTTTTTTTTTTTTTTTTTTCTTTCTGTAAGGTTTCTTTGTGAAAGTTGGAATGTTTAGTACAGAAGGGCTGATCTATAAGAAGAAGACTCGTCTTGTCAAGTCCACTAATGGCCAAGTGAAGTGGAGAGAAATGATGATTTTTCCAGTTAGCCAAGCTGAACAAGGAATCAGTTTTCTTATCAAACTCTACAGCAGAAGCTCAGTGAGAAGAAAGCACTTTCTAGGACAGGTTGGTTTCTGCTAACTAACATGATAGTCTTGATATTCTTAAATCCAGTTGCAGGGATGGTTTTTTTGGTTTTTGTTTTTTTTAAAACTCATATTAAAAAATACTTTAAGGTGCTGTATAGGGAAATAGTGAATTTGAATAAACTTCTTGATATAACTCAAGAAAAAATGGTAGTGGGCTCTTGAACATCACAAGCATCAGAATGGAAGTTGACATTTGATTTTCCTTCAGAAAGGAAGTCCTTAAGTCTTTTTTGTGTGGAAAGTTATTACATGAAAGATTCCTCCTTATGAACAGATGAATGATGTTGTCCTTGCCTCTAGGCTTTCTAAAGAAAACAAACACAGCATTCACAGCAGCTCCGTGACCTACAGTGTCCTCCACAGAAAGAGGATGTGTGTAGGAAAAAATACAACAGCAACAACAGCAGATTTCTCTTCTGAGCAAGACAGACACGTAGTCAGCACAGTATTCTGAAAGTGTACGATCAAGTTATAATGTGAACAGACAGAAAACGATTTTTTAGCTGAATGGGGTTTTTTTGCTTTATTTTAACAGCTGGAACCTCTGTAGTATGTATTCAAAAGCATTTCTGTGATCATACTTATTTAATCACTGTACTTCATAAAACTTGGTATTCTGGTCTCTTTTTATTCTCCCTGTCCTCATATTCTCTCTCTTACCATCAGCCTGCCTGTTCTTTCTCTACTTTTATTTCTTAGCTGTTCCAACTGCTCAGTGCATTCTCTGATCAGATAGATGTACTAAGAGAATTTTAATATATACATAAATTAATAATGTGGAGTGATTTTTGAAGTTCCAACTGTAAAGTCATTTGCTAACTGAAGGATGGGTTACTCTGTCCTTGGGTACAGAAAATGGTAGTTTCCTGTTCTGGCAATGTATTTTGTGCATGCTGGGCACATGTACTTTAGGAGATGCTGATCTGCTACAGAAATGAGTTATGTGATCTTCCTCCATTTTATTGAGGATAATGTCCCATGTATTCCATCTTTCTGTGTTTCCTATTAGTAGAATTAGATTTGGAATGGGAAAAGAAACTGTTTTTTTTTAGTTGTAATACCTTGGGGCAAAACTAATTGAGTATGATTTTGCAGTCAGTTAACAGTATGTGAGGTCATCTCAATCTGATGAGTTGCATTTAATCATGGATCTTATTTTTACAGGGAGCAAATGATCTACTTCTGCTTTTCAGTTATTTGGAAAAGGTTGTTTCAGCTCATGCAGGCAGACATTGCCACATACACATGAAGACATAAAATATGGCTCAGGGAAAAGCGTACATTGAGCAATTGGCTGGGTGGCTGGAAAAAGATGAATATGGCTAGATCTATTAACTGCTTTCTTCAGAGAATGGTGATTAATTGGATGCTGTTCTAAAGCAGACAACACTTTGATTAGGTTGCATTTATGAGCATGTCTTTAATCATGACCAAGATGTATATTGATTCTCTGTGGATGAAATATCGGCTGCCTGTGGTATTCTGGAAGACATTATTCTCACTTAAGGAATCATGTCTCAACAGTGTGGGCTAAATGTACTTCATGGTGAAGGTTTCTGAGAAGTATTAAAAGGGCTCATTCTTGGAAGAGTGCAGGAAATGGAGTCCCATAAATGATGATACCTACTTACATAATCAGAATTCTTTTTGGCAGTCGAAGCTGGTGATAATTTTTAGGGGGAAACTTCCTTCTTGTACCTTATTTCCTTCTTTAATGGCTTCTATCCATTAGTTTAATATTGTGAAGAGATGGACTCTTACTGCGTGACTATGTGTGCTACAGGCACGTTAGTAACCTCTGTGGAATGCAGGTTTGGCCCTGTCTGTTGGAGTGTGTGATTTTAAATGCTCATGAAAAGGCTGGACAGCTAAATCTGGGTGCCAGATGGCTTGCAGCCAGCTGGAGTTTGACTGCATGGTCCAGAGAGTCATCGCTGCCCTCATGGGCCCTTGACCCCAGCACATGAATTTGAATGAAGCAAGGAATGCTTGACCTAAAACATTTTGTTAACTAGCAAAACATTAGAGTGTAGTGAGCTTTCTAAACTCCTATTTGTTTAGAGACTAAATATAAACCCAGACTCCCTGTGTTCCCAGTTGGAAGCCAAGTTATGTTAGTCCTGACAGAACTGTATTTGTTGTTAATGCTTTGGTCACAGTCTACGTGTCGCATCTCATTCTACACTTCCATGGAATTTATTTGGAACTAACATAGGCTGCACTTCTGTGTTACATCAGGTAAACTTCGTTTTGTTTCTTTTTTCTCCTTGCAGGTCTGGATAAGTTCTGACAGCAATAACAGTGAAGCAGTAGAGCAGTGGGAAGATACTATTGCAAATCCTGAAAAAGTTGTTATTAAGTGGTACAGCCTTGGTCCGTCTTGAAGACTGGAGATGAAACTGAGGACTTCTTTTCCACAAAGATATTCTTATGCCTTTCAAAATAATATAAATAAAAAGAAAAAAACATTGTTCAATGCACAAACTGTTCAAAAGGATTCCATTCTATCACGCCTCCATGTGAACTGGAAAAACTCAATTTCCTGAAGAGAAATACTGCCTAAATACTATTGAGAGGAAGACTTAGGAAATGGGAAGAGAACTCATTCGGTTTTAGAAAGTCCACTTCTTTTTCCCTTTTTAGGCTTTGTAAGAGTATAGAAATCCAGTACTGGAGAGAAAGAGTGTGAATCAACGTCATTTGCACTATTTACAGACTTCATCTTCACATCTGCAGTCATGTCTTTGGCAGACTTCACAGCCCATGTGGAATCAGCTCGGTCAGCAGCTTGAACCTAGGCACTTTTGAGCCTCAGGCCATACCTGTATTGACAGCATTTGGCCAGAGTAACGTGCCTCAGCAGGTGGGAAAGCTGTGGCTGTAGCAGGAGGCCTGAAGGGAACTGTAAAATAAGGCAGCACCCAAAGGCTTTCCTAATCTCTGCTTCCAGTGAAGAGTTGTGCAGCACACCGACATGCCAGTATCTTGGGTTTTCATCCATTCTTCTCTCCATTCTAAACAGAGGAACTGAAATACAAAAGTTTATCTGGCTATTTGTAATCTTCTTAAGTGGGGCCCTCTAGCCTCACTGTTTTGTGAGCGCTGGAAGGATTAAGGGGAATACTGTTAGAGAATACTGCTTAAGATCAGTCAGGTTTGTTTGTTTGTTTCATATATTAGTTTATTATGCATAATTCTTACATGTAAATAAGCTCCTATCTAATCAACATTGTTCTACCATTTGCTTACTTTACTAAAAGCCAGACTAATGTTCTTAAGGAGTAAGCAAATATTTACTGATGAAGTATATATTTCTTACTTGTTTCAAGCAAGAAGAGATTACCATATTTTTACTGCAAATGGTGTTTTTCCTACAAAGTCCTAAGATTATTTTTCTACTAGTCCCCATATTTTCTGGAGTCTATTCATAGTTATTTTTAAGAAGGGAGAAATGCTGATTATGTAATAGATGAAATGTGCATCTAAAAGCAAAGACGCCTTTGCATTACGTTAACTACTGGATTGAACAAAAATATATTCCATTAAATCCATCACACATCTAGCGCTGGCCGTGTGAGCTGCTCAAATACGTGTTTGTGTAGACAGTGAATAACAGTATCTTTTTTTATAACTTGGAACACATTCAAACATCTGACACAAGAACTGGAGTGGTGGTGAGAGCGCTCACTGCTTGAAGGCAAAGGAACAGTGGGGGGCAGAGAAAGCACTGAAACAGGAAGGCATGTTGTTTTTAAGCAAAGAGCTCAAAGCTTCTTTATTTCGGCCTTTCTGACTTCAAATAAAGGCCAAGAAAAGAAATGGAATCTCTTCAATTTTTTTTTTAAGTTGTTAATTCAAGCTTTTAAAATTTCAGCCATCTCGTTTTTTTGTTTTTTGTTTTTTTTTTTAATGATTTTTAAAATGGGCAAACAAAAGGGTTTTCCCTGGGTTGTACATAATCTTCTTTTGGACACATTCTCATATATGAAGTGAAATGGTTTTTGCATGTTATTTGGAGAACAGACGTTGGTTTTTGCTTTGATGGATGCCCCTTGCAACACTCCCAGTTGGCTCAGTGGATCTGGACATGAGATCGTAGAATCATAGAATGGCCTGGATTGAAAAGGACCACAATGATCATCTAGTTTCAACCCCCCTGCTGTGTACAGGGAGATGTCAGCATCCACACAGTTACAGTACTTGAGATGAGCCTGTCCTGCTGTGTAAAATGAAAGAAGGAATTGGACTAAGCTGATGTTCTTGGAGTTCTCTACTTGAATACAGGATCTTTCTGTTCATTGTGGCTGTATTGCAGTAAACAAAAGTGCAAACTAACTGTTTCCTTATGCAAAATGCTGTTCTGTTTGGAAGGGAGGACAGGAAATATTCCAGTGTTTTGGAGGCTTCAATTACCACAAAAGTGGCTCTGCAATGATTGCCAACTCAGTGGATATTGTGTAAAATGGACTTCATTGGCTGTTTTAGGGTGCTGAGCCTTTAGGAGGCCTAACTAGTAATGTCTCATTTTTCCTATGTTAATATTTAATCAGTGTGTTTACAATAAAAGTTATAAACACAAAATGATCCTTTTTTTTTTTTTAATTGTGTATACCAGTGTTTACCAGCATAACAAATTGAAATTCAAGTCCTACTTTTTTTTTCTCTGAGAAAATGCTGAGAATGAAACAATTTTTGATGTGGTGTTGTGTGTGTGGGTGTTGATAGCTAACACCTCATGGATACCTATGGCTTCTTCTGTAAGGTGTATACAGCTCCTATAGTACTGTGAACAACGTAATCTAAGGCCTTCTTCATCTGTGTTGGGAATTGCTGTATATATTGCTGTATATTCATGTCATAATTTCATGAATTCTTAATAGTTGGGAAAAGAAAAGAGTTTGTTCCATTGCTCATCAGATCTGAAATTACTCAACTAGTGTGAAATTCCATCTTCTTCAGGAACAAGTTCTTTCTTCTTCTCTTATCTCTCTACAGATATGTTTCCAACACTGTTGCTGAGGATTTAGGAGAAAGTAAAGATATAGGAAAGTCTTCCTGAAGAGAAAAATGATGCATCACTTGAAAACATAAATTAGCAAAGATGCTTATTTAATCAAGGATGCATGCAGAAGTAGGAAAAAAGATGTCTCAGAGCACTCTTCTAAGAATGACAGCTCTATGTTGCCCCTTGAATGCTTGCATTTTCAGCTACTCTTTTCGTTGCAGGTTATATCCAGGTTTACTGATGTTTCAAAAAATACTATTGTGAAAGCTGTCACATAGTTTGTAGATACAAAGTACTCATGGTTCATAGTTAGATTTCCGGTTGCTTCTAGTTAGGGACTCACTCTACTTCTAGAAAATAATAGAGGTTCAGAAGCTGTATGGGTTTTATTTAAATCTGCACAATATGTGTGCAGGTTAATTGGAACAACAGTTATGGCCTTGCATTATATGTTATTCCTAGAGAGATCTGTGCCTACTTAGAACCATCCCTAGACTAAACTTATTCAGATTTTTTAGAATGTTTGCATATAATTGCACTACTAAATTAAACAATTCTGTTTTATTTGTTTATGATTAAGAGCATTCTGTACGCAAACAAGACCAACAAATTTATTTTTCAAGTCTTTATATCTCAGTGGCATGACATGGCATTCCTTTTAAGGAAAAAAAATGCAAGATTCTACCTCAAAAGATGAGTGGGTGTAGCAGTTTGTAAACCACAATGCCATTAAACGTTAGTTGGAAATTAACTGTATTTGATTGCCTTTTGTGATCACCATGCAGATAGTGCCATCCTGCTAAATCAATTAGACAGCCCTGGATTGTCCTTTTGCTGGGAAGACATTTGTATAAAACAAAAGGTAATTTTGTCGTTCAGTTAAACACATGTGCTGTTTGACTTAAAGACTGTCTGCCCAATGGAGATTGCTTTTGAGTTATGAGTTACTTTTGCAGCCAAAGCATAAGGTTGTCTAGAAACTGGGGGCAGGGCTGTTCCATTTCTTAATTACATCCTGCCAAAATATGTATGACATGGGAGGGAGGCTGCATAGTTGTGGAAAGTTTGGCATAAATCATGCTGGACATGATATACCCTCCTTGTTTTTCCAGCTTCTGCTGTAAAATTACATCACCATGTAAACAGAGCCCTGTACATGATCTCATGCTTGGTGTATGGAAAAAGCCATCACTAAAATCAGCACCATGTTCCACAAACATTGCTCCAGCTGATTTATATTCTTCTCTCCAGCTTATGCCGAGAGAGAGTCTGTGGGCTCTCACAGTCTAAGGCAGAACTCCCATTGTATTCAGCAGAAGCAACCGGTCTTCAAGGCTGATTTGGTTATTTCAGCATTGTGATGGTATGATTTATCTTCCAAAAGGTCACAGACAGCTTAATTTTTTTAACATTTTAAAAATAGCTAAAAATCTGTCCACGTTTTTCTAGAAATTTAGCATCATTGAAAATGGATTTGTGTCTCTTACATGTAATGCCATTCTTTCCATAGATTTCACTGGCTTTCAAAGAAATCCTCTGTACTGATTATTCTGCTATTGGTCTAACTGTGCCATTTCTTTCACTTCTTTTATTTGCCTGTGGAATGCTCTTCTTGCTCTCTATGCGTACATAGTCCTTCAAGTTATGTCTGCTTCTGCAACTAACATTCTGTTTATCCAGTAATATTTCCCTTCTCTAGCTAGTACTGGGACCAACAGCACTTCTTCCCTTCCTTTGAAGTTTAAAGAACTTGCTAAAGTCATAAGGCTTTCAATCCTAGGACTTGGATCATGTCTGATGCTCAGCATTCCTGAGCTACATTTGGCTGCAACTTGGATGGTATGGTTCTCTTGAAGCTCCCTGAGTTCTGTGCTGTCTACTGCCACTGAATACAGCAATGGGTTAAATCAGCTGCAACCTCTTGTGTCTGTGCTAGAATTTTTCTTCCTCAAAAATTTACCTTAGGAAATCATTTTGAATGGCAAGAAGAGGAGGAGCAAGCTGACCTTAGATGACAATCAGGTTGGTCGACTGCCTTTATCTGTGATGTTACACAGGGAGGAAGTGTGATGAGATCTGCAGCTCCAGCAGGAGAGAGGCCTGTGCTTCCTCCTGTGTGTATGACCTGGGAAACACCTGTTAGCCTGGCGACTGAAATGCCAAATGCCAATGGGAGGTGCAGTCATATTGTACTTTCTAACTTTCCCTTGAGAAACTCTCTAGAGCTCTGGAGCAGCTAACTAGGGAAATTTTCCATAGCAGGAATTTCTATTGTTGACACGTTTCTATGAAGCAGAACATTAAGATAGCTTAGGAGCCATTGAAAAATAAGAGTTACAGGAATATGAGTTCTAAATCTAGCCAACCTTTGTCTCTTGTCATAGAAAAGAAAGTATTCTTTGTTTGTGATAGAGAGCAAAAGAAGAAAATGGCACGTTACACCCAAAACAGGGCTGGGTCTCCCCTGCATTAGCACCTATTAGTCCTTCAAATATTTTTTGTGCTTATCTTTAGTGAAGTAAGGACAGATTGGCTAAGTGATTGTTAAAGGGAGGTAGTGAAGGAGGTGGAATAAAAGCAGTTTTGTTTTGAAAAACAATGTAATGTGCCCGTAACTATTGACAAAGCTTTAATTTGACGTGACTTACATAGCTGATTACGCATGTGGATATTTGCTTATGTTCTGTCAGAACTTCCCTGGTATGAGACTGAATTCATCTTTTATGTAATTAAATAATGCTTCATTCTGATGAGCCCATTGACCTTTGAGCTCTCAACTTAGTTAAGCCTGATTGCCTATGGATAATTTCTCATGGCTGACTGACTCCTGCATCAAATAGGAGTAGAACATACTGAATCTTTTTCCTGCACTTCAGGAACTAACAGTGTCTCTCTTCCAGACAGATTCTCTGATTTCTAATGAAAAATGAGCTGGGAAACTGAGAAGTGACACTCCCTTCTCTACCTGACTGTTGGGTGGTTGTTTTTGTTTGTTTTATTTGCTTGAAACCTTTGGAAAAAGAGGTGACATCTCTACTATCAGTCAAATTTGATTGAGATGATAAATGTGCTGAAAAATTATTGTAAGCCTTGGACAGAATGAGCAAAAACAAGCTGTGGTGCTTCAGGATCCTTGGGCTCAGCTATCTCAGATCAGGAAGTTTTTCGCACCATTATCATTGCTGATCACAATTTCACCAGCACTGGTTCTCAGGGCAGCTTAAGCAGTTTCTCTGAAGATGCTTCTTTTCCTTTGAAGTATTTTGGAGCAGTATGCTCTCAAGCTGGTCACTTGCTCTGTTCTCACAGCAGTGCTGTTTTAATGATCTCTTGGCTGTAGAGAATTTTGATTTACCTTGAAATCACCATTTAATAAAAGCAGAAGCAGAAATTAAGTTAAGTTTAGTATGAAGAAATGCTCTTAAAGCTTCATTTTAGGTAATAAAACAAGCAGTAGCAGCAGACATCAGATTCTCCTCTGTTTGTCAGCATGTGAATATAATTAGGAATCCATTACAGTTCTTAGGCCTTGATAATGCCTTTTTTTAACACCCTAGCCTTTCCATGTTTATCATAGTGCTAAGGCTGGAAACCAATATGTTCCACCAGGAGAGCTCTGACTCCCATGTTGATGAGCCCTGGAAGGAGGGGCTGGGATTTTCAACCAGGTACTTTGACATGCTTTTGGAGCACGTGCCATATAGAGAATTTAAGCTTGTGGATCTAGATTTACTGCACACAGTGGGTGATTAGATGGTGTCAGTTCTTCCTGAAAATTAAATTACTTGAATATCAAAAGTTTAGGGTTTTTTGGTTTAGAATTGTTGTTTTGTTTTAAGAGCAGCACAAGCCCTGGAATTCTGGATGAAGCTGATGATCAAATCTGAGTTTGTCTCTAACACAAGTAGCTTTCAAGACCAAGCTGGTATATCGGTGTGGAAAGGAGTGCCCATGAAATCAGAATGCCCATGAAACAGAAGTGAGGAATTTCAAAAGCCAGGAAGTAGAGCATTGGTGGTACTAGGGCACTTCACTGAAGCTCCTGTGCTAAGGTGAAGCAGATCTGGGAACAGAAGAGGTTCTCTGAGGCTCTAGTTCTTTGCTATAACTTGTGAGACTTGGCTGTCTCTCCATGCTAAGTGTTTTGTAGACCAAATGCAACCCTGCTGACTACCATTCTTTATTGTGGACAAATTGTACTGTGTGTGTAAATTACAGCTTTAAGTGTGTTATATATCAATATCACTATCAATATCAATATCACAATTTCTGGTATTAAGTCTGCATGTAACGCCAAAATTCACAGAGGACCAAATGTGACATCAGTGTGGATTCGATATTCTCTATTGAGCAGTATTGTTTCTTGTCTTGAGAATGAAAAAAAAAAATACATATGTAAATACTCTTTTTCCAAAAGACAGCAGGTACTGCTATTCTTGTCCAGCTGAGGGGTATTTATGGCATTCACTTGTTCTCAGCTACTTTATTTCATCAGCACTTCATTCCCTTTCCCTGCCTGCACCTCTTTTAGTTGCCTAAGAGACAAAGCGTAGTCAAACACATCCAGCTGTTTTACTTCCCTTCATCAGCCACTGGAAGATCATCAGAATGACAACTTTCTCCTGTGTTTCAGAAACGTTTGTCAAATCCGTTTGCAAAAGTCCATCCATATAAAGAGATCAAAGCATTAGCTTGGTCCCTGAAAGCAATGAGAGTAACAGCCATGGCAACTGCAGCTGGAATTTTTGGCAGAGCAAGCTATGAGTCTAAGGTCCTGGCGCAGGTCCTAAGCTGCCGCGATACAAACTGGGCTGTGTGTTGGTAGAACTGTGCCAGCTCACCTCTGTCTGAACACACAAGCCTCAGAAACTACAGTCTTCCACTCCTAAGTAAGAAGATTGTGACTGTTGCTGTTCATCCCTTGGAAAACTTCAGTAGGCTGCACCAGGGTCTCAGAAACAAGTGTTTATGGCTGGAAATACACTTTTAGCAGCTCATATGGAAATGGGAAAACGTGAAATGGACTTCTGCATAGTCTTTCACACTCCTGCGGATCCATGAGGGGCTTTCTGCATTTTAATTCCTCCTCATGCCTCCAGACATATAAAATGGCAATGATTTTTTCAGATATTTGTTTTTTCTTCATTTGAGCTCCTGCATTTCTGACTTATTTCTGACTTTGAGCAATGCCTATATTTACTAGATAAGGGCAAATAGGTTGCCCATATTTACTTTGAGATTGAATTTCTTCATGCAATATTTGTTCAATAACTATTTAACTGTAGAGGATGTTTAATAACATTTTTGTTAACCAAATTTGATCTAAAATCTAAATTTTTGATTCAATTCCATATTTCAGTGCCTGTTTATCTATCGTATGGCAAATGAAAATTATATGGGTTATCAGAATCAAAGGTGAAAAACATTTATAGGAAGGGTAGGGCCTAAAGCATGCAGAACTGATTACCAAGTTGAAGGTTCTAACAAGTTCAAATATAACCCCTGTATATCCCTGAAAGTACTGCTTGAAGTTTTTCAACAATCTTTGCAAAAGAATGCAATGCTTTATATCCAAGGCTGTCTTCCCTCACCTGTTAAATTAAACAGTGGGAAAAACAAGAATGAAACTAGCCATACAAGTGGGATAGCTCCTCAACTGTGGGCTCTTTGGGACAGGCTTGAGACAAAGCAGTGAAGCATCAGGTGGTGAATAGCTGCTACGCATCTTGCATGAATTTTGTGCCAAATCACAGGACTTTGCTTGCTAGGTCCTGCATGTTGCAGGACATGGGACTTGATCACAATATGTAATATTTAATGGTATGCTTGCAGATAATCTCATAAACTGCTTTTGTATTGCAGATCTCAAGTTCCTACAATCCTCAGTATTTTACAGGGGCGCCAACAATGCATGCTTGGAAAATCATCTGTCAAACTCTCAATCCGGTAACCTGCTGGGATGTAAGAAGTTCTCAACTCCTGGCCTTGCAGGTACCACAAGTACACAACCAAGTACAGCTGTGCAGCACATGTTATTTCCAAGACTGGAATTCTGAAAATGTGAAACATTAAAAAATATTTATCTACCCACACTCTGAAAGGCTCTGAATCTGCAACATATACAGTTTGCAGTCATTTCACATCATTCCCAGGGAAGCAGGAGTCTGGAAATCCTGGAAGCCCACAGACTCCTGAGGGCTCTCCTGGCAGTGTGGAGCTTCAGGCTTTTATTGCCTCTTAATGGGCATATACCTTCTATTTAGTGGAGATTAATTTAGGCTGGCTATATAACAGAAATGCACTATATGTCAAAGTGAAAATTACTGAATTCACAATTCTAGAAAGAGAATGAACAGTATATTAAAATATTTTAATTTAGAGGAGCTCACTGAGACCAACCAAAAAAGAAGCTGAAACTTTCTTCAAATCCCAGGCAGCTAAATAGCACACATTGCTCAGAGAACCAGAATTCTTATCGTCTACTTCTGTTAATCAGGCATTTTGATAGGTACCAAGCTGTCATTCATTTCCAGGTACATAGTCTCTACAAGCACATACTGACTACTTTCACAGAAACATTCTTCAGCAGCAAATCTTTTCCTAATATTGGCTGTATACAAAGAAATAAGGTGCAAAATAACATGAACTGCAAAGAGAACATAGTTTAGTATGGCGTTTGTAATGTCAGCTACTGCTCCACTACAGAGCATTCCAATTACCAGACAGAAACAAAGCAGGTCTTGGTACCACTATCCCGGTCACAAGGGAATGATAAAATTGATGTCTTTGTTTTTTTTTATTCTTCTGATTTTTGAGTGCATAGTTGTCAGTTGTGTCAGAAACAATATTCTAGGGTGCTGAAGTAAACTGCTTAATTGCTGTGTTTATCCAAACTGATTGCAGGCCTCTCAAATTATATTTACTTTGAAAGTAATAACGCGTATCCCCATGTCCGTGATAAATTAGTATGCTGCTCAAATGTACGGGAAGGAGGTAATAAAGGCAAAAATATAGTACAACAGTCTCAAATGTTCATACTGAAGGCAGAAATTGACACACTGCAGGTATTCAATGCAAAACTAATATTTTGTGCTTGGGAACAAAGATATTTAACAGGCACTGCAATACAATACCATTACAGAGAAAGGAAATGCCATGCTGAGACCATAGTTAAGAGTTTTGTGCAGAAGACACACGTACAAATCGCTGCAGAGAAATCGGTGCTGAGAAAGCCTCGGTTGGAGGACGGTGTCCAGCTGTGGTCATCATCTTTCAAGACAAAGCACAGAGGAAGAAACAAGGTTATGGACAACAAAACCTGACCTGTAAGAACCGAAAGTCCTGAGTTGTTTAATCTGGCAAAGAGAAGGCACAGAGACAAAATTCTAATATGTGAAAGTCTGCTGAAAAAAGACACAGAAGGATTGTTCTCCGTGTCTACTAGGGATGAGCTGACAAAGAAGCTTCACCTGGGAAATACTGCTTCTGTTACTTCAACTGCTAAGTGACACACCAACATCTCTATAACATACCAAAGCAAGAATGTGTTCGGATGTAACCTTAAGTGCCTTGAAGCCTGACTGTTGTTGAAGATGAGTGAAAAAGTGTTTTTCTTAACATACTTAGTTTGCTGGGCTAAAGAAAAAAGAATTAAAAGCAGTCAGAAAATGGCATGTGAAAAGTTTTTAGTGAAATAAAGCCCTTTTGTCATTTGGCTTTTAAATTGTTTTAAGAAAGTTTAGCTTTTCTCAGAATCAAACCTGACAAGAACTTCACATTGCAAAATATAAGGTTAGTACTACCATAGCTTTCAGCAGTCACAGCATCTCTATTCTGTATTCAGTGCATTAACTCCTCACTGTTCGTTCTACTCCATAGGCATTGCTTTTTAAAAGCTTTCTACTACCTAAGGCATGAAAAAGAAGCTGAAACAAAGGCTCACTGAATTCCTCAGTCATGGGCCTCAGCCATGGAACATGTCAGGTCACCATCTGCCCTTGGGCACCCTTTATTTCAAGGAGTGTGTGCTAGGTCTGCACAGGCTTCCTGTTCAGGTTACCAGCCAGAAATACATGCTTACAAAGTACCATTAGATTAGTAAGTGAAAAGGTTTATTAAGTGCTGTTTTCATCCTATTTTGGAGGTTCCCACAGTGATTTTCACTGTCCAAGCCCTTGTTCATCCATTTAGCTGTTAACAGTGACATTTAATGAAATAAGATCAGATCCTTCCACTACAATCATGTTGGTATACAACCAGGATAGAATTCATTCCACTCTCTCTCCTGGAAATGAGCAGGATGGTACCAAAATCTGTGGAAATGATTTTAGTTCTTTTATTTTCCTTTTAAGTTTCATCCCATAGTAGCATCGTTTTCTTTCTGACTTAAAAGCAGGAATCTGATGCTTCTGTTCAGAGATGCTACAAGGATTTAGTCACAGTGAAGAGCTACACTAATTATGGAAACAAAACACCGGCAACAGCAAAAGGAATTCTCCTTTATGTATAAAGCTGTAGTTGCTTTAAACTGATGAACTGGTGGCTACTTTCAACTTGAAAGTGATTTGACTTATCAAAATGCAAAAGGTAACTGCTTGAAATAATAAAAAAAAAAAGTTCTGCATTAACAAGAAGTTCTGCATTAACGAGACACAACCATGAAGTAAAGTTTAATAGCACTGCTTTTGATAGATCTTCCCTAAAGTTACTGTAACCTCCAGTTGGGAACTGGAGCTTTTTTTGAAATTAATCTGTTTACAGATCAATCCCAGTCAATTCACATTTACAGTATTGTCTGTATTTCCAGATGAAACTGATTAAGCATGTTCTGAATTTCAAAGCCCATCTGTTACCACTCCTGTTTGTCAGTCTGACACATGGGCACCTCTTTGCTGATTCCCAAACAAGCCCAGGTATAACAGGACTGGGCCTACCATGTCTCATGTTGATTTTCTGATTTTATTATACTCAATTAACACAATGAAACGTTTTTTTCCTTTATTGAGCTTCCTGTTGGCAATGTGACATTGTCTCAGTGGCATATAATCTTGACTTCTTCTACAGTATCGTGTGGTGCAATGCCAACGTTTTGTTTAAAAAGGGTGTGAAAGGATTTGGCCTATGAAAAAAAATGATGCTAAACATTAACTGTGACATCATTTGAGCACCTGCCTCATGAATAACCCCGGATACTCTAACCGAGTAGAATAGAAACTTTTCTTTAATCACTTTCAGTGAGAATTCTGCCATAAAACCCCATGAACCCTTTCTATCTTTAGTTACCAACTTCTACGAAAGTTTTGTTCTTGTTTTATGAAAAAACAACAAAGAAAAATTTTTTGGCTACTGACCATATAATTACTAGAAATTGCATGTTCTGGATAAAGGCCAACTGTGATAATCATATTTTGCTTTAGTCAGCTTCTAGTTCATTTCACAAACTGTTTAATGCGGTTATTGATTTCCTATCTCCACTTGTGGTGCTGTATTGTTGAATTCTCCCACCACCAGTGACTCACTTCTCAGTTTGTCATGTGGGCTTCCCTCTGAGCACATAAAGAATGAAAAATCATGACAGAAACCATAAACGGAGGTTTAACAGATGATAATGAATATGCAATAAATATTGTTTAAAAGTTTTTTAATTATTCAGACGTCTTGGAACGAGAATTTATATATGTTAAAAAGCCAATGGCCAGGAGTGCTTCCAGGTTTTGCATCTAAAGTAGTGCACAACAAATAGAACAGAACTGTAACTTATTTCAGTATATACTGTCAAGTTCTTTCACAACCTTTGTCAGGGAAAAGAGAAAACAAAGTGTTACTCAGCTCCATTGCTAATTTTTTGCAAAAAGCTTAGACCTCAAGGTAAGATCTCAATGTAAAAAGCTCTGCCTTTCCATCATTACTATCATTACCACAAAGGTTTACTTAAAGTACTTCTCTATGGATAGCTGAGGAGAAGAACCAGAGTTGCAGCCAAACCTGCAAGTTTGGGGGTTGAAAATATTACATCCCATTCAAACCACAAAAGCCCCTGCATTTTAATGATGTAACTGATGGAACTGAAGAAATAATACGGAGAGATTCGGGAAGAAAATGTTAACTACTTCTCACCACATTCAATCACTCGAGATGGGGTCAGGGATTTAAAAACAATTCAAGAAATGGAGTGAAAAACATTGTAGTTGAAAGTTTGATTCTCTTCATTTCACAGTAATTCCAAACTTCTGTAGAACTGCCCTCTTTGAAAATAGCTTCCAACTCCAGGCATACTAGACAGCATCGTGATCAAAATTAATGTCAGATATAAGACAAATCTATCCTACTCTAACAATGAGACTGAGGGAGGTGGGCCTCTTTAAAAGAGTGTCAGAGCCTCACTCTTGAAATGCTGAGAAGGAGCACCTTTTCAGTGGTGCTAATGGCCCTTTGAAACCCATGCAGTTGTTCTTGAAAAGTATCTTCTAATGCTATGACATTCCTAAAGAAAATACACTCACCATTTGTATTATGAAATTACAAAAGCAGCATTAATTTCATGTATGCTCTTGAGAAACTATTTGTTGTATACTCAGTTAATTACGCAAAGAAAAAATCAGAAAAAAAAACCAACATTATAACTGTGTGTGAGTTTACACACTTGTTTTATGTGTGCAGAGATGTAGTTAACTGAAGGGTCTGTGTACGAACCTGGTAGAAGGACTGCAAGACAGCTGTGTACAGAGTAGGGGACAGGGAAGAGCAGAGAAGCACAGAAGGTAGCTGGAAGCTGACACAGGCAGCTAAGCTGAGTTTGGCTGGACACTTGTGCTACTCTGGCAATACCAAGTATTTTTGAAAACTACTTGGTTATTCAGTGGGCTCTGGCTGCTTTAAGATGCTCTGGAATAAATCAAAATAATGTAACTTTTTTTCATAACTCCCAAGTTACAGTATGAGATGGCAGAGGATAACATCTTTTTTCATGCTCAAGCACTGTATTTGCACTGCCTTCAATGTGCTGGACTTTCATTAACCTTAATTCTGAGTTTCCTAGGTTTATCATGGCTAGCTTAGGAATAATAATATCACTAAAGTCATCTGGAAAAAATTGTCTGGATTTTACACTACGTTATGAAATCTATTTTCAAGTAGTTTTGTCAGAGAATATAATTCCCAGCATTGGTTGAAAAAGGAAAATTAGATTTTTATTAAATGCACATTTTTAAACAAAAAGCTTGCTTTCTGGGGAAAACCTTGTTTTCATTTAAATTAACCAACTAAATACTCAGGACTGTTCTTTCAGCCAAAAGCTGAAAGCTTCACCTTGGAATTGCTCCCCTATCCCCATGTGAGTTATAGCTCAAGTGCCTAGTTGTGCTATGTTAGGACTTGCTCCCTCTAACAAGACTGCAGCTTCAAGGAGACAATCAACAAGACAGGAGATTGACATACATGGTCAAAAGCCACTCCTACACCATGACAGCTCACAAGTCAGGGTGACATTTTCTAGACTTGAACTTTCAGAGTTCTTAGGGAATAGCTGGAAACGTGACTTCCTTACATGTCCCAAGATTCAACACACTTTCTGTAGCATTAAATTTCCAAGAGCTGTGAAGAAAAGAATGACAGTCAAGTTCTCTCACTCCTTAGAAACTACTATTATGCATACATCTGAACATGGAAACTACACAAAGTCTGGATGTGGTCGGTCTTTGGCACATGGTTATACAGGACCCATTGTCTTCTAGAACTGTCAGCTGACAGTTAAATCATTTTATACTTGGTGTCTGTAAATTTGTCTGTGTATAACAATCAGAATTTATATAGCCCCTAACAGTACTGTTAAATATAACAGTATAACAATATAACATAACAGTAAAATAAATAAAAGAAAGTTCATCTACAAAATGCCCATCAGCATAGATTAATAAACAGCCTTATCTCCACTTACACCCTTGCACTCTTTCCCATTCAACATATGGTTTCATTTTGAAAGAGGAGACTTACAGTAAACTATCATCAGTAGACTGATAAACGCTATATTCATAACAGTACATCTGTTCAATGAAGATTTCTCACGCCTACTGAATGCTTAATGGCTTTCTAGAATACTAACTTCATTTATCCATTTTGACATTGAGTAATATATACAGGAAGAGAAATAGTGATTCTTACTCATTCCCCTAGGAATTTTAGCTTTTCATTTATTTTATAAGTACATGCTGGTGTTCAAATACCTAACGGAGATACTAAGCTCACAATACTTTGTACTTAAGAGGCAAATTGGATCTTAATTCCATCTCCTGAAAGCACACACGGAAGAAATTATCACTATTCAGAATTTCACCCAAAGCAGCTGGTAACTGTTCTACAGTTCTCAACAAAGTACAAAGTTAACTACCAACCCAGTTAAATATAATTCTAATCAGTCAGAAGCTCAGTGTCTCAAATACAACACAGGGAATGGACAAATGTTGCTAACAATATTATGTATTACATTACTGTAGTTGGAAGATATTCCTATAAAAAGACTGTGAGAAAGCCTAGCGTGGAAATGGTCTCAAATATGTCTATTGGAGAATATGTTTATGAGTCTGCAGGAAAAAAACTGCTCAGTATGTAGAGCTGATCCCACAGCTCCTGCTCAATGTGTTAACTCAAAGCTACAGTTCAATTTCAA